ATACAGGGTGGAACCCCCGGGAACTCGATTTCCGTGCACCCAGCCCAATATCCGAAAAGCCCATACTCTGATTGGACTGGTAAATGCATTTTATTGGTTAGACAGTGTAAAATAATCGAGGTTACTCACAGATATTCAATTAATTATACTAAAGTCGTCCTCTACATCCGAGATGTCGGATTCGCTTTCGCTACTCTCCCCTGTGTTCGCGTGTATTATCAATTGGTCTACGTCATCTTGCAGGTTGTCGATCAACTGGCGTACCTCGTCGTTTTTAAAAGTGGTATTATGGGTACCTACATATCGCTTAACTTGGTTCCACACCATTTTTATAGAATTCAATTCGCAGTGATAGGAGGAAGCCTTAAAATATAAACATTATGTTGTGAATCATACTCATCAAGATGATACTTATCGTATTGGTCTTTAAAAGCACGCGCTGCTTCTAATAGCTCGGATTTCAAATAACACTCCTCGAAAAAAATGTCTTTTTCCACTAGCCATTCCTTGATTCAGCTTTATTCCAGGAATTGTTAGGGAATCTCTCTTTACGGGAGTGGTACGATGCATTGTCCATTACAATGACATTCCTGCGACCATTATTTGGTAAATTTGATATTAATGTCTCCTTAAACCACGACTCAAAATATGCGGCATCCATTTCATCGTGATAGTCGCCATCATTTTTCTTTGCCAGAAAAACACGCTGTGTGCCAGGAAGGAAACCTCCTGAAAAACATGCATGCAATAAAACGTATCGTTTAGTAGGTGCTTTTAAGCCAGTACTTAAACCTTTGAGAAAAGCATCACGACTGTTTTGTATCGTAGTATCGCACTATTCGTAATTTATAGATTTACCAACATTAACCCACGATTCGTCCAAATATATGATATTGCAATAGTCTTTTCGCAAACGTCGTATAGTTCTCAAATAATTATGGCGCCAATGAATAATATCTTCTCGCTCCACTATGATGCTTTTTCGGCCACGTTTCTTATAAACAAATCCAATATCTTTCAGAAGTCTGTATAAAGTAGAAAGAGACAGCGGCTGTATATTCTCATTACCTTGTATGAAGTTATGTAGGCGGCAAATTTTTCATGAAAAATTCACAATGAACAATTCTCCGTAGAATACTTCTTACACCCTCGCCATACGTAAATATTCTAGAATTTGATTGACACACTCGTTTTTACGTTTTTTTGGCATTTCAACGTTCCACTCTGTTCTTTTTCTTTTCTGAAATTGTAAATTCTTCTTTCGGTAACACCAGTCATCAACGAAGTACGTCTTACAGCAGCACTTACATTCGACTTCATTTGGTGAGGTTCCTGGTAATGGAGTAGCCACAGAATACAATCCATCAATGGATCACTGACAATTGGGGAGGATAAAATCTCCCAGGATACATAACTTATATTCTGGATACTTTTCAGCTAGATTATCTACATTTTCTGCAAATTTCGCATACTTCTCAATGATACTACGTGGTGGTAGGCAGTTGCAAAGATAAACTTGTCAATGTGGCCAATCTCAATGTTGACAAACAGATGTTCGATATTTTGAGTCACTGACAAACGAACACTGGTTATGGTTTTCCGGACAGCTAGAAGCACTCCTCCACCTCTTTTGAAGGTACTTGTTTCTAGGGATCTATCTTTTCTATATATGTTGTAGTCAAACATTTGCAGTCGGCGCTTTTTATGTCATCTGTTAACCATGTTCATTAAAAACTAAAATATCATATTGTGAGTAAAAGTATTTTCAAACAGTAGCTGAAGTTTTGTACGTAACCCTCTGATATTCTGAAAATATACCAGCGCTTTTGAAGTCCGAACTGAGGGGGCTTTGAACCTGGTATATAGGTTTACTTTTTTCGTATTAACTTTGGCACACCATTAACATATTTCAAAATTAGATCGGGTTCACCCTTACGCTGTCTTTGTTTTAATTCATTTTCAGTGCATTGACCTCAGCTCGTTGTTCAGTAGTTAAATCAGCTTCCAGGAATACTTTTAAACCTCTATCCAACTCCCTCTTGTTTCCCAATATCAACCGAACCATTTCAGGTGACTCTAGAGTTAGTCGCAGTGGTTGATACCCATTTTTATTTCGTTTACCAATTCTAGTTGAACTGACTATTTTTATATCAGAAGCAGCTAAGCCCGATAGCATTTCCTTAGCTTTAGAAGTGTCACCTTCCTCACCATCTTGAAGCATATTAAAGATCATAAGATTGCCAGATCTCTTTTGTCTCTCAGACACTTCATACAAAACACTGCCGTGCACCAATGTGGAACTGTAATTATTGTCCTTTTTTTGTATTTGATGTAGAGGTGGTATTTTTCATGAAGGTAAGATCCTTCTTAATGTCTTCAAATGAGATAGTAAAACTGGTTTTCAAACTTTTGACTTCATCGTTTACCTCACGAATCTGTTTTTCAAACTCCTCCATTTTTTTGACAGTTTGCAATTTTGATTTCACTTATCTTCTGTATCTGTGTATCTTCTAATGCTTTTACACGGCTGTTTAGAGTAACTGACTTTTGATTCCTGGCACGCAGTCACAACACAAATATGGCATAATTCAAGTGGTCAGAAGTAGACACCTTATCTCTGTCGAGCTAATTCCAGTGCAGTTTTTGCATAAAACATTTTTGCAAATGTCACAAGGATAACCAAAAACATCCCCTGTACCTTTATTCTTCTTCTTCATGTGCCTTGTCCGTTCCGAACGTTGGCAATCAACATGGCTATTCTGACTTTGTTTACGGCGGATCTGAATAGTTCAGCAGATGACAATCCGAACCATTGCCGCAAGTTTTGGAGCCACGAGTGTCTTCTCCTCCCTGGACCCCTTCTGCTGTCTATTTTCCATTGAACGATCAGCTGTAGTACTGTATATTTATTATGTTCCATAACTTGACCCAAGTATTCCAACTTTCTTTTCTTTATACTTATTCCTACCTCTCTCTCTTTACCTATCCGGCGTAGTACCTCTTCCTTGGTCCCGTACTCAGTCCAGGATATACGTAATATACGTCGGTAAGCCCACATTTCGAAGGCCTTTACTTTTTACATCAATGTTGCGGTCATTGTCCACGCCTCCATTCCATATAACAAAACCGGGAATACATAACATTTCAGAAGTCGAATTTTGAGAGGTAGGGTGAGGTTTTTAGAGGTGAAAATTTGCTTCATGCTAGTGAACGATGCTCTTGCCTTTTCTACTCTTATACGTATTTCCTTCGCTTGATCCCAATTTGAGTTAACTGTTGTTCCCAAGTAGATGTACGAATCCACGTGTTCAATTCTTTCATTGTCTAATATCAGTTGCTGTGGCCGTTGTTGGGTTTTGCTTACTAACATCACAGAATAATAAACAATCAGAAGGGCCACTCTCAGATGCCGCCTTTGAAGTTTTTCAGCACGCGCGCCATGTTTTAGGAGGACACAAACATATGATTTGTGAGGTTATGCAATTGTTTACATTTATGTTTAATGATATTATATTTAAAACTGTTAATATAATTGTATAGTATGTCTATGGTTGCCGTAAGTCAAATAAACCTGTTTTTTTTTCCATGCACACCACATAAACAACACTGGTTCCCTTTAAAATCCTCGTAAAACATGGCGGAACGTCTGCGCGAAGGAGATGCGCGTACTTAATTTTCCGTGGAGAGTAGGCATTCTGTTTGTTTATTATTCTGTGCTAACATCCATTTGGTTTTTGTGATATTTAGTCTGAGTCCGTATTGTGCATTTGTTTTTTTTATCTTACTCATTACGCAACTCAGTTCCTCCATGCTACTTGCTAGAATCACAGTGTCATCAGCATACCTTTATTAGGTTCTTTAAAAACACAGTTTTTGGAACATTTGCCACATGTTCCTGCCACTTCACTACTCAACGCATTTTCATGAAATTAACCGCTGTAATGACTAGTATTTTTTTTAAATATTGATGCATAAATAAAGTATATATTAAAGAAAGGGTAATTTAAACAAATTTTTAATATTTTATGCGAAAAGAACTCGGATCCGAGTCGTGAGCATATTGCTTATATTTTCTTTATTTGTGCTAAGCGACTCGGATATGAGTCGCTGTTATAATTATTCAAAAAAATTAATTTAAATTAATTTGTTATTAAATCAAATGAGAAATATAACAAATCGAGAACTAAGGAAAAAAAACAAATTTTCATTTCCTAGCAAAATGTTTATGAAGACCTAAGATGAAAACTTCAAAATAAAATTTGATGGTACTTTTTCGTGATGCTCATATTGTAATGGCTTTTATACACTGAAATTAAATTAAAAAAGAACATGAAGAAGGTAGAAAAATAATAAAAAATTCTCAAATTTAGATTTATCTCGAAAACAAAATACGATCTGGAATTTTTGTATTTTTTTAATTCTTCTGTTGTTTATTACGTTATTTCACTTATTTCAACAATACTCTGTATAGTATTTTGTTAGAGGATTCCAACTTAGTACAGCATTGTAAAAGTTTCCAAGAAATTAATATCCGATGGAGTTTTCAAAATAAGCGAAATGAAAGTCGGAATATTCAACGGCATTGTGGCCAGGTACAATATCTGCCTGTTATGCTAATTAATAATTAGAAAGTCAATATCGGCAAAACCAGCTTATTCAAATTATGGGTACCTACCTGTTATAGTCTTTTGATGAAGGATTTCAATTTATTACCCCTATCATATGTAAAAATTCTCAAAAAAATAATATCAGGTTCAGTTTTCAATGAAACAAAGATCTAATCTTTAACAGAATTGTGACCATGTAAAATATCTGCTTACTATGCTAATTAATAATAAGAAAGTCAAATCGGCAAAAGCAGCTTATTCAAATTATATCTATAGTCTTTTGTTGAAGGATTTCAATTTATTACCCTTAGCATTTGTGAAAGTTTTCAAGATATTTATATTTTCAGATTAGAAATTGTTAGTGAGATATTAGGTAAAAATTAAAAAGTCTTTAGAAAATAAAATCTTTATTTAAACTAATATACTGAAGACAGTCTATCTTTTCGTTGAGTGGTATTTGCGAAAACAATCTCCTATGCATAGTCCAGGTTTTTCGTTACAATCAGCACACTCGTAAATTGTGTTTTTCCTAATTTTATGGATAGAACATATTCTACATCGTTTCCTTTTTGTTTCTCCCTTTTCAGATTTACTAGCAATTACTTTAGGCAAATGTTCGTGAGCAGAACTACATTCTTTAGTTTTATTTGTTTTATGAAGTAATTCGCGAATGATTTCTAGGCGAAAATCTGAGAGAGGGAGTTTTGTTCCAGAATATTTATTATATAGAAAAAATGAGTTAAGCAACATTACCTGGAAAAAGTGGAGCCCTAATTTCTTATACCACCGTAACGTTTTTCTGGAACATGGGTAGTACGACAACATTTAATCTTGTCTATCTATACCTGCCATGTACTGCTTATATTTCAATATTGGTAATGGTCTGACAACATTCCATCCATTCCTGGTTGTATGTTCGGTCAAAGTATTTGGAAATTCAGAAGATATATATAACACATCTCTTTTGTAATGCCATTTACCAATCATCACTCCATTATAATATTGCGCTTTGGTTTCTCCTTTGGCTAGTTTTGCATTGTTTACTTCTGAGGGGTATCCAATTCGACCTGCACGTAACGTACCAGTGCAATAGGTATGCCGCGTCAATAGAACAATCTTTATTGTCTGGTATATATCAAGATAAATATTTTCTTAGGTACTTACCGCAATAGTCATATTCAGAAGGCTCAGACTCTTCGTCGCTAATGTTTATGTCATGATCACTACACTTCATCTAATTTATATAACGATGCACGTCATCGGCGTCATAGCCTGTGACGTCATATGATACCAACATGAAATATTTAGGGTTTAGGTGTGTTCTTTTTAGAATCACTTTACCGAGTACACTGGCATTACAGCCATTAGACATATTTTATTATATACGCGTTGAAATAATATTTAAAAATTTCTATTAATGTTAACTTAAAGAAATACACAATAATATGTTTCATTTAATTTGTATAAATCCATTATAAAGAGTTTTTATCAAGAACATTTGTTCGGAACACACTGTAACTGTAATCGAACGAAGGTAAAATTTTGGCATAAATTGGTAACACTTATTTGACAGTTGCGGTGTTGACACTTTTTGTACTTTATTATTTTAAATTTTAAAGTGAATACCTCTTGTTTTATATTTTTACCTATTTAATAAAATCTGTTCTTTTTAGAACAAAATTAGTGTGTTTTATTTCAAAAATGTCACGTAAGAATTTAAATAGTCGTTGTAAAGAGATGGTAATACTTTTGCAATAATTATGTGACCAATTTGATTTAAAATGGAGTCAGGATTTTTTTATACTTTGGCAACTATGTCAACTTCGACCTCTGACGTAGATAATGACGTAAGTCGTTATCTAAATTAGATGAAGTATAAATGATTCGTTTAGAATTTTAAATAATTCGTCTTGTGTGAATTTTGCACTTTGTAGTTAGGGTTTTTTAATTCCCGAAGGGCCAGGTTGTTGTTCATCCATATTTGCACACTGTATATTACGATTCACAAACGAAAAGCATTTTTCAATTATAGAAAGGTATACAAACACGCTCGTCAGAATACAACGTTCTTACTCAAGCGCTAAAAGAATACTGACACGTTTTAATTCGGGACTCCCGTCGACTCGGATCCGAGTCATGAGCATACAGGGATAAGTACAGCCGACTCGGATCCGAGTCATGCGCAGTGAACGAGTTAAGGTTATGTTAATTTATATTTATAACGCTATCTATTGTGCACGTTCATATGTCTAATTAAATCATCTTTTCGAGCATTATATTTAATACAAATTATACGTTAATAAGGTTTTTCTCCAGTATGCGTTCTAGAATGTCTCTTCAAATCACGTGACCGAGCGAACTGCTTAACACAAATTTCACAATGAAAACGTTTTTCTCGATTTCTTTCTCCACTGTGTATGCTAAAATGTTTTTTCAAATCACTTGCATGTGCAAACTGCTTTAAACAAAATTCACATTGGTGAGGTTTTTCTCCAGTGTGAATTCTCATATGCCCACTTAAATGGTCTTTCCGAGTAAACTGCTTATCACAAATTTCACATTGATAAGGTTTTTCTCCAGTGTGCGTTCTACCATGTCTCTTTAAGTCACTTGGATGACTGAACTGCTTATCACAAATTTCACATTGATATGGTTTTTGTCGAGTGTGTGTTCTTAAATGTTTCTTCAAACTAAGTTCATGAGTAAACTGCTTAAGGCAAATTTCACATTTTAATGTTTTTTCTTCAACTTGATGAGTTATGGGTTCTTTATAACACGACTGGTCAGGTAATGTTTTCACAATTTCAATTTCATGTTCCTCCTGGGAAAAACCTAAAATAAAATCTTTTTTAAAATTTGTCAGAATTTTTAGATAGAAAAAAATCACTAAGTACTGGGTAGGGGGAAAATAGTAGGTAAGTTTAGAATGGATAAATCTAGTAATAAACAGAATAGGTCATAATAGAACCACTGGCATGTCAAGCATACAAATTTTAAGGTAACCAATCTCTCGGCTAAAATTTAACCCATTCATGCCCAGCGTTGCGTTTTCGCAACAGTTGACATAGACCACTATGGCGTCATCTTTTGGAAAATGACATGACTTATTCGGGCAGTCAAGGTTCAGATTTATTTCACAACAGTTTCCTATGTATGTTTTAGTGGGAATTGGTAGCAAAATTTAGGTTTCTATTAACCAGGTTAATTTTGACTTTTGTAAACACGTGTTTTTAGTTAGTAGTAAGTCGTTTGTGTATAAATTAACTAGATAAATATTTGGTTTCTGATAGCAACGTATTGTTAAATCATTGAAGAGGATATATCTATCAAGTACGTGCTATTATTTTATCTGTGCTAGTTGGTACAACTACGCAATTATCAGTGTTGCGTTTTCGCAATACTGGGCACAAGATATATTATTGAAGACTGTGGAGGAACTAAACAAAAATATGTTGGATGCGGAATCAGAAGCTGTAATTCATCAAGAATAAGAAAGAATGATCGACGAAGAAAATATAAATCTATATGAAAAAGAGGCAGATCTTCAAAGTGTGACACAAACTCAGGAAGAAGAATATACTGAAGAGATTGAGATGGAAACAGAAATAGAGACACAAAATGAAGAAAATCAAGATATTCAAGTGGCATCTACTGAGATTCGTGCAAAAAGTGTAACTCTCCTACCACGGAAATGGATTCAGAGAGATTTACCAGATGAAAATTCCTTTTATTTGCATATTGAAAATAAAAAAACTTAATGGAACACATACACTCCTTCATTTTATTCACGACCACTCACTCCTTTACAGATCTTTGTTTTTTTTTTTCAATGAAGAACTTTTAACAAATATTGTAAAGGAGACAGTTCGTTATGCTCTTCAAAAAGGTACTACTTTAGAATTTGGAGCAGACGAGTTAAAATTCTTTATAGGGATTTTACTAATTAGTGGGTACAGCACGAATCCAAGAAGACGCGCTTGTACTGGGAAGAATATGATGACGTTAAAAATATACTGATTTCAAGTAATATGCGTCGTAACCGATTTGAAACCATTATAAGATTCCTACATTTTAACAATAACCTAAATATAATATATAGTTCAGACAAAACATACAAAATTTCTCCGTACCTTGAAAGCCTCCGCAAATCATTTACTGAATACACTGTATGGGAAACCGAATCTAGCGTGGACGAGGCCATGATACCATACTATGGGCGTCATGGTATGAAACAACACATAAAAGACAAGCCCATACGCTTTGGGTATAAATCGTGGTGTTGGAATCAGAAATCTGGTTACCACTCAATATTCATCAAGGAGCCAAGGGAAACCCCAATGAAAATACAAAAAAGAATTTATTTGGCCTTGAAAGCGAAATAATATTGCAGTTTGTTCAACTTATTCCTAAAATACAATGCGATAGGGTTATGCCTCATTGCTTATATGCTGATAATTATTTCACCTCTATGCAACTAATTGATTTTTCAACATCGAAGGGAATAGGTTATGTAGGAACCATACGATCAAATAGAAGAGAAAACTATCCATTCAGTGAAACGTTCAACAAATCCATACGTGGAATTACCATAAAACGACGCCAGTTTATCAAACAGATACTCCTTTGCCCAAAGCAAAAAAATCAAAGTAACACAACCACATCTTATTCGGGCTTATAACGAAAATATGGGAGGAACTGATCGGATGGAACAAAATGTTGCCATTACAGAACAAATATAAGATCCAAGAAATGGTATTGGCCTTTATTTATCTGGGATATTGATATCTCCATACAAAATGCTTGGTTAATTTACCGTAGAATGAGACAAATTATTAAAGCCATTTTTGTAGCGGATTCTTTTAATGCTACATACGCCTCTCGTACAGCGTTTTACGTTCTTTCAACAATATTGGTATCATCAGCATAGGCCTGGATTTGCAGGGATTTATTATATATTGAACCAGTGGTTGTGATTTGTAACATACGTATTTTTCCAGAGCCAGATTGAACAGTATATAGGAGAGAGGGTCTCCCTGGCGCAGCCCATTATTTGTTTTAAAAGGTTCAGACAGTTCCCCCTGAATTCATACTCTACATTCAACTTTTTCAAGAGTTATTTTTGTTAAATTTACCAACTGATTTATTATTCCTAGCTCTTTCATTGCTTTAAACATTTCTCTTCTATTCACAGAGTCGTAGGCTGCTGTGTAGTCTATAAATATATGATGAGTATCAGTGCCATATTCCAGTGTTTTTTCCAAATTTTGTTGGTTGCAATCTGATGAATTGTAGATTTATCACCTCTGAAACCAGCCTGGTATTTTTCTACTATCCGTTCTGCATATGGTGCCATAGTTGCAGCAAGTTAGAATATTTAATAAAACCTTCGTCTCCCATTATAGAGAGTAGTTAATAATCTTTGGTTATTATTTTTACTAGAGCACAATCAATTTTTTCCAAGTCACTGTCTTTTCGCGATTATCGCTGATCGCGGCATACTGCATGTGTGGTCTGTTAAGTGTCTGTCCCTGGAGTCGCTAGCGTCGATCGTTATCGAATGATCCGAGACCAGACACAGTCGCAAACACTGAGCGAGTAAAGTAGCTTATGTATGTGATTTCGAGTTTTTTATTTGGGAGATTCTCTTCTGGAGACACTGGATATGGAATACAGTTTGTAGACGACTTTTTCATATCCTGTTTTACGAAACTTAACACAAAATCAAATTGAAGTTCATTCAAACTGAAGAACTGTGAAACTTAACATCATCTCCTAATAAATGGTTATCAAAATTTTGAAGTACCCTTCTTGTCTTCCTTTAAATATTGCATGTTTTTCTAATCTTGGAACACTTATCATATCTTAACATTTATTCGTCCTCTATTTCTTCTGCTAGCAGGTATTTTAACAATAACTGATCATTGCTCAGCGAAAATTGTTATCGTTTTTTTTTTGCAGTGCTTCTTGCTATGTCACCGAAAAGTTCTAGTACTACGAGTGTTTCTTTTGTCCTTCTCCTGACGAGTAAGTCCGCTTTTTTGTTCCTTTCAATACCAGTATGTTCAGGTACCCAGCTTCAAGAAAGGGAAAGGTCAATTGAAAGATGGCAAGAAGAATGGAACAAATATGCTGATCCCGAACCTAAGAGATTTTGTGGACTAACTGTAATAATTACCTGGATTATTTTCTCAGGTGCTCACAGGACACGGGTATTTTAGGAACAACATCTGTAGGTTCGGAAGACTGACACGGATGAATACCTATACTACGAACATCCGAACACTGACACATAAGATATTGCGAGTGCAACAGATAGATGTAGTAGAAAGGAGCAGAATGGAAGGAGCAATGATCAAGAAGAAATAAAGACAGCTGAACCAACGGCAAAGGTAAGAGGGGAAGATGTAATTTGAGGTATAGGAAATACGTTTTGATAAGAGGCGAACAAATGAGTCAGAATGTGGCGAAGGAGGAAATTGCTGGATGAAAGTGATGACGTTGAAACAGGAAAAAGGGACAGGGAGCCCTCTTGCTGGCAGTCTATGGATAAATGAAGGTAGTGCTTCAGAAATGTTGCTCGAGCTTACAGCGGCCATTCGCCATCGCTGGATGACTGAGGAGGGTCTGTTTTAGCAGAAAGGCGTTCGGCACAGACTCAGCGACGATAGAGCGTTTTAAAGTACATCGGAAACTATCGCCGTCACTACGAAGAATGAATAGTGCACATTGTCTTTTGAAGGTTTCAAACCATCTCTATACACCACTATAAACACGAAAAAAAAACAAAGTTTTTTGTTTTTTAGTATTTTAAAAATGATGATATAAAACATTGTAAATCTAGGCTTCATGCTTTGTTTACACTGTCTACCAATAATGTTGATTATAAAGATATTTACAGGACAGAAAAACGCAAATACAATTTTTTACTTACTCAATCTCGAAAAAATTGTTATAAAGAACGAATTGAAAATAGCGAAAACAAAAACTACTGCTTGGCAATTGGTAAAAGAGATTAAGGTTAATTCGAAAAATCAAGGTAATTTCTGTTTGGAGGGTGACTCTCAGGTGCTTTTTAACGAAATAAATCAAGTTATGGCAAATGCAGCGCCAGAAGCTGAAAAGAAAATAAAGCATTTAAAAAATTTTCAAATTAATATCGAACAAAATAATCATTGAATGTTTTTAACTCCTGTTTCAGAGAAAGAAATAAGTCACATAATAAATAACTTAAAAACAAACATAGCTCTGGTTATGATGAAATATCAACCAACTTAATTAAATATGTTTTATCAGAGATTTCTCTTCCTCTTTCTTTTATAGTTAGTACTTCTTTCAGGCAAGATAAATTTCCTCAAAGTTTAAAACTAGCAATTGTCAAGCCACTACATAAAAAGGTGATTACTAAGATGAAGAACTATAGACCAATAAGCCTTCTTCCATCATTCTCAAAAATATGTGAAAAAGCAATATATTTCAGGCTACAAAACTTTTTTACTACAAACAACTTATTTAGTAGTTCACAGCATGGTTTTCTAGCAGGGAGATTTGTTGAGACAGTTACCTATGATTTCATATCAGAAATTTTAGAAAAACTAGAGACAAAGATGAAAACACTAGGTGCTTTTTTGGATATATCTAAGGCTCTCGATAGCCTAGATCATGTTCTTTTGTTACAAAAATTACATCTTTATGGACTACAGGGACCAGAATTAAAATGGATAAAATCATTTCTCACATATATATATATATATATATATATATATATATATATATATATATATATATATATATATATATATATATATAATATATATATAGGTCACAAAAGGTATGCCTGGAGAAAAGGGGATGTAAGGTTTACTCTGAACCGATCAATTTAAAATTAGGCATACTACAGGGGAGTGTCTTGGGGCCTTTTCTCTTTTTGGTCTACATAAAACAACCTTCGTAGACCGTTGAAAATGCGGTGGTTAGTAGTTCCTTAAACCTTGTAAATTTAACTGATGACCCAAATGCGCTTTTCTGAAAAAAAAAGAACCACTCTTCACAGTGGCGGAACAAATTCTAAGCAAGGCTGAACAGTGGTTCATTGGAAATCGGTTGTTGCTTAATACTGATAAGACAGTTTTTGTTTGCTTTAGAATCAGCCAGATAGGAGAACAGTTTTCAGATACAATCAATTTTCTATCACAAAACACTAGAGAAAGAACTATCCAGACCAAGGGATTTTACTATCAACATATTATGCAAACTTTTATTATGTTATGCGATATGGAGTAATCTTCTGGGATGCTGCAATATATAGCTCAATTGTCTTTATAGTTCAAAAAAAAGGTAGTCCGGTTGATGACTAAAGGCGGGAGAATCCTGTAGAGGCCGTGAGCAAATTGTTAACTGTATTTAGTTCAATTTAATGTTTATACATCATAATCTTATAATGTCCATTGACTTAAGCTTCTTTACAATTTTAATATGCTACATGTCTTTTTGAGGCAACACACTTAATAACTTTTTCATGGTTGTTTGGTTTTTTATATTGTTCTTTTTAGATAAACTGATGATGCTTTCTGATTAGAAAGCGAAACGTCTTCAATAAATAGATGAAGTAGCCAACTTCTTTGTCTTTTTTTTTTTTTTCTCCACCTTTTGACTGAAAAACCCACCACTCTTCGAGTGATCCTAAATATATATATATATATATATATATATATATATATATATATATAATATATATATATATATATATATATATATATATATATATATATATATATATATATATATATATATATATATATATATATATATATATATATAAATGTGGCCATAAGCTCCCCTACTATTAAGATTCAGCAGATTCCGATGTCCGAAGTTATAACAAAGAAGAAATCAATATTTTTATTATTATTGTAATTATTATGTTTCAATAGTCACTTATAAAATCATTAAATGTAGTAGTTTGTAGTATTTCTCAAAATTGTAACTTTTTATTTCGAAATAAAGTTTTTTTTTTGAGAAACTTAACGTTGAAGAAACATTTCTATATACATATTAACATTAAAATTGTCCAATATAATTTTTTAGAAAACCGACAACTGTTTTCTAAAATAGAAGACACCAACTGTAAATAAAACTAATGTTATCTACAAACTGGGCATCAACTTGACTACTCAAATGTCAGGGTTCTACAGCAAGAGAATAATTGCAAAAAAGATTGTTTTTAGAAATTTGTCATATTAATAGAGAAAAATATGCAGTAAATTACAAAGCAGACACGGGAGAGTTGAGCAATATCTACTGTACTATTCTTAGTATGTTCGAATAATTTTTGTGTTTACAATTATATTTTAAATCACCCTGTATATTTTTAATGTGTAATTTTATTGTGTTTTAATTATTTCTTGGTTGTTTTTGTTTGCTCTTTTTATATTTAATTACTAGTGACCTAGGTGCTTTTAACCAATATTGTTTTGAAAATATTATGTACAAGAACATTTTTAAATATTTTTAACTCTAAATCTGTAAGTAATTTATTTTTTATTCTCACCTAATGTTTATAAAAATTTTAACCACATTTTAGTTGTCTCCTGATTAAGCTGACAAAAGATCAGCAAAATATAGAGAAATAAAAGAAAAGAGTTTTTTTCAAATAACAAACTGCATACCTGATACACCATTATAATAAATTATTATTTATGTTTGGGTCGATAATCCTGCTAGGTTTGTTGTTAGCTTAAGTCAAAAAAGACTGATTTTAGAGGAGAGATCTCTGCTGGATTCTAAAAAACTGATTTGGATTTCTATAAATAGACCTCAAACCCTTAAAGACAGATAGTGTCACATAAAGAATAGGTGTGTGTTATCTAGCAGATGCGAGAGGGTATAAGAAGAATTTTTAGCACCTAAAAACAGAAACAAAAGGGTAGATAGACTTAAAATCTCCATTTGGAATGCAAGAGGAATAGTAAAAAAGAAACATCTTCACAAATAACTAAATAAGCAGAAAATAGATTCAGACAACTACACAATTATTTATAGCAGAGTGCCACAATGCAACAAGCTATACATAATGTAAATGAAAGGATACTAACAAGGTTTAAGATTGGCAGAGATCACTTAAATACCATAGTTGAAAGTGCACCAAGTCATAAGATTACAAATACATACCAGCCGAAATTTTCAAAACTGAATGATACACACCAATAGACTTCATAACCTAATACTTAACTAGAAGATTCTTTAGCAATATACTGTGCCTGAAGTCTGAACAGGCAAGACTTATGACTCATGGAGTCAAGTATAAATGCTAGCAAGTTGATAGATAAGTTAAATAAACATTAAATTGGGTATGTCAATTATTATAATATAAAGGCAAACATACCATTTTCAATGTGAACTAGGTCAGGCTTATCCTCCTCTTCTAATTTGATGTTTTCAATATTAGCTTCCTTGCTTGCTTGATGTAAGGAGTTACCATGGTCAAAATATCTGTTTGTATCATTATTAAGTGAATCTGACTCCAACAATTCTTCCTTTATCTCAGTTTTAACAGAACAAGAACAGATAGTATGAGAGACTTCAATATTTTCTATTTGGATCTTAAATTTATTTGGTAAATTATTTAGTTCTTGTTTTACTTCCATTGATTTAATAATTATTTCACTTTAGTGTTTGAATAACAGCCAAAACGTTGAAAGTAAAATCAAAGAATATAGATTATGCGTCTACATTTACATTCTTTAGTAAAATATTTCCCAATAAGAAATACCCATCTTAACTATTGAAATACCTATGTACAATAGTACACAATATGACAATAAACAATTTTGATCCCCGTCGACTGTCACACTTATGACTTCTTAGTAGGGATGTGTAGTTCACCTTAACTATCGAAATAGTTCTGATGAACGATTCTTTCAACTGAACTAATTCATTAATTTTCAGAGAACCCATGGCACAGAATAATAAACAAACAGAATACCCACTCTCCACGGAATATTAAGTACGCGCATCTCCTCCGCGCAGACGTTCCGCCATGTTTTAGGAGGATTTTAAAGAAATTAGTGTTGTTTATGTGCTGTGCATGGAAAAATTAACCAGGTTTATTTGACTTACGGCAATCATAGACATACTATACAATTATATTAACATTGTTAAATATAATAACATAAATATAATATAATTAAACATAAATATAAACAATTACATAACCACACAAATCATATGTCTGTGTCCTCCTAAAACATGGCGCGCGTGCTGAAAAACTTCAAAGGCGGCATCTGAGAGTGACCCTTCTGATTGTTTATTATTCTGTGCCCATGGTACAATAAAATTCACATTGAGAGTTTATTGTACCATGCAGAGAACAGCCATGCATCCAATGACGTATAATATATAGACTACGCAGTCCCCTATTCTCGCTATAGAATCAAGTGTCCGAAAGATCTCGGCTCAAGGTTGAAGGTATGTTTATCACAACAGCGGCGTGTTCATTATATTTTAATGACAATAATTATTTTTTTAATTAAAATTAAATATTTATGATTTCTTTTTGTTCCCATCTATAAGAGAAATAATTATTTTGATAAAATAGTATGGCATTTTACTAAAATAGTAAGTAAATAACTCTCAACAATTTAAAATAAAATTTGCTTGTCACACAAAATGGAGAAAATGTTTTCATACGTCCATGATGTTTTCAAACACACGATCAACGTCGTGATGCTTCGTAAGAAATCATGAACTTCGTGTATCTTCGTATCAAAACAATAAACAATAACAAAGGTATTCATGTTTTGGACACTTTTTAAAGCGTTCACCGAGTCTATATATTATACGTCATTGCATGCATCCTTTATTAAGGATTATTTATTGACACATACAAAAAACTGACATTTCAAACGTGCAACTCTCCAATGACGTCACATTAACATGCGCAATATCTTATCTTCTTATCATAGTATCATGCAGAGAACTAGTTCACTGCGATCTTTATTTATACGTCCATGCTGCGAACGATTTGCATTATAAATTATGTCTCGACTTCTAAAGAAGAAAATAATGAATGAATGAATTAGAACATAATATTTATTATTTTGTGAATGGATGGACTAACTAGTTTAAAAAAAATGCCGATTAGCCTCAGATAACAGATTCATGATTCTTATGAATGTGACAATACCATAAGGTCTTATCTTAATGTCATAATGGTTTAGATCTTATGCCCATGTATTGGCTTAGATGTTGCCATGCTGTGTTGTTTCCTGTGTTGTAATTTTGAAATAAAAATCCCTTTAGTCGTGGTTAAAATGATTGAGGCATTTACATAAAATATAATTTTATGTAAAAGTGAGAATGAAAATGTGTTATTTAATGTTCCTAGAAAATTCACTGATTTTTTTTGTAAAGGTTCTTTTAGAAATAACCTAATTATAAATACCTATTAGTTTAAATATACGTAAATATAAAAATAAATCATACTTGAACCATATTTATGTTTAAAACGGTTAATAAAAACAAATCTTAATAATTTTTTGCAAATAAAAACTAACTAATCATATAATAATTTAAACCATTTAAACCTAAACATACGATCGAAAGAAATAGTTCCGAACTACTTGTACGGTAGTGAACTAGTGAAAGACTGACTGAAAGAAAGAAATAGTTCCGAACTACTTGTACGGTAGTGAACTAGTGAAAGACTAGTGACTAAAAACCGAAGTAAACGGGCGGCCAGCGCCGAGCTTGGGTGATGATTGAGACGACTGATTGATCTGGCAACCAGTTCTGTTAGGGTTGGATTTCGATGTCGGTCCTACAAATAGTTCTTTCGCGAACTAGTTCATTTTTGTGAAATAGTTCTGTTGAACTAGTTCGTCTAAAAGAACTAATAAGCATACCTCTACTTCTTAGTGCAAGATATGGCACCGAGGTATACTTACCGTTAAACAGTTTAAGTTTTGAATTTGTTCATGTTCATTACCAAGGTTATTAAAAATAGACTTTTTACTAACCTTGGTTCATTACAGTCAATGACGATAATATATAGACTACGCAGTCCCCCATTCTCGCTATAGAATCGAGTGTCCGAAAGATCTCGGCTCAAGGTTGAAGGTATGTTTATCAGAACAGCGGCGTGCTTATTTATATGTTAATGACAATAATTATTTTTTTAATTAAAATTAAATATTTATGATTTCTTTTTGTTCCCGTCTATAAGAGAACTAATTATTTTGATAAAATAGTATGGCATTTTACTAAAATAGTAAGTAAATAACTCTCAACAATTTAAAATAATATTTGCTTGTCACACAAAATGGAGAAAATGTTTTCATACGTCCATGATGTTTTCAAACACAAGATCAACTTCGTGATGCTTCGTAAGAAATCATGAACTTCGTGCATCTTCGTATCAAAACAATAAACAATAACAAAAGTATTCAGGTTTTGGACACTTTTTAAAGCGTTCACCGAGTCTATATATTATACGTCATTGATTACAGTAATGGAACAATGTTGCCATATGATGCATCGTTAAAATATGATACATACAAGTCCCCTGGCTTTGTCTAGCTATGACGACATGTGCAAAGTCAATTAAAATTAGAACAGCAAGTGAGAATTAATTATCTTGTTGTTATAGTATCATGAGCCAAACCCACGTATTCTGTGCAGACTTGCGCAGTTCATTTGAATTCATTTCTGAAGTTAGTGGTCGGTGGTGTCAATGAGGTTTATATCTATTTATTAAATGATAATAGTTCCTCAAAAAGCTCTAGTTTTTTTAATATTTTTTGTTGCGCATATGTTTCCAATAAAAATGTGTTATACAGAGTATGATGTCATGTAAATACTGATACCAACTTTATTATTTTAGATGGAACACCAGGTATATTATTTAGTTATTGGATCCAATACAAAATACAAAGAACTTTATCAATATATTGGATTACCATGCTTTTATTAAACTGTTTTTAATATACAATGCATTAAAGACACAATCCCTTCTATATTAACTTTTAAATATATAGCCCTTAAGATACCTACTTATGTACATTCCATTTCACACCTGGTAAAAATATAGGCAGGTTTCATTTATTTGACATGATATCTATTTTAAAAGAATATAGGTACTTATCTTAGAGTATTATATACATTATTAAAAACAAGTTGAGATACGAAAATGAACTCACTCTTCTTTATTGAAATTAGGTATAGAACCTTTTAAAGTCATAAGGAGACACGCAGAGAGTAATATATTCATTCACCACCCTGTATCCTAAAATAAGTTAATTAAAACTATAACATGCAATATATCAAAGTTCTGGGAATTTTGTGCATAATCCAAAAATTTTATAATATACCTAACCAATGTATCATTTAAAATAAGAAAGTTGGTATCATAGTAATTGATATATAAAATCAGTCAACATCCTGTATATAAAATAACAAATTTTTATTGAAAAAAATGCGCAAAAAGTATTTTTTTAAAATACTTTTTAAAACTATTTTTAAAAACCTTTAATTTTGATTTGCTATTATTTACTATTAATTTTAGAGTTATTCTTATGCAACCAACAATACACATAAACCTCATTGTCACATTCAGATGTGGATAAAATCTGCACAGAATAGTGGGTCAGCCTCTAGACACTAGTTATTTTAGAACATTTGATCAAAATCAGAATGTGACGTCACATGCTGATAATTTATTGGTTTGGTCACAGAATAATAAACAAACAGAATACCCACTCTTCACGGAAAATTAAGTACGCGCATCTCCCCCGCGCAGACGTTCCGCCATGTTTTAGGAGGATTTTAAAGAAATTAGTGTTATTTATGTGGTGTGCATGGAAAAATTAATCAGGTTTATTTGACTTACGGCAATCATATACATACTATACAATTATATTAACATTGTTAAATATAATATAATTAAACATAAATATAAACAATTACATAACCACACAAATCATATGTCTGTGTCCTCCTAAAACATGGCGCGCGTGCTGAAAAACTTCAAAGGCGGCATCTGAGAGTGGCCCTTCTGATTGTTTATTATTCTGTGGTTTGGTCAAATGTTTGACCGTTTGACAGGGACTTAAAGTTATGCTCGTCTTGCTCTAGGCAATGCACAAACCAGGGCCCTGATTCTAATTGAGATTTCGACTGAAAACATGTTGAAATCAATATGGCGACGTCGAAATGCGACTTTGCGAGTCTAGTGGATTTCAGCTGAACTAACCAAAGGACGTCACTAAATTTCGATTTATCGAAATTAATTTCAACTTCGAGAAAGTGGTTGAAATTTAATTTCGAGTCGAAATTAATCTGACATGACTAGCACTAGCGGGACTGGGAGAAGCGAGGTTAGGTTCAGTTTAGGCGGTGTTGTTTTGTTTGATTGTTGCAATGAAAACTGAGGCAAAAAGTATTAATATGGCTGCGTTTTATCAGAAATTGTATGTGATTCGGCACATAATTGGTCTAAATTTTAACACCTATAAAAATAGAACTGCGGTACCTGGGGGCTCCAAGCCAGATGCTACTGATTATTTTTTAAAATATACTGTGGTGTAAAAATTAAAGAAATAAAATGTCCCAATATTAAAACTAAATTGGAAACCACAATTTTTGAATATATTCAACAGGCTGTAATGGAAGATAGAAATAATAAATAATTTGGTTTTAATAATTTATTTTAATTCGAAACTCTTATTTGGAGATATAAAATAATCTTTAAACTCATCAAGAATTTTTAGAGCGGTAATGTATTGTTTTTAGTAATACCAATACTAAGCTGCAGTAAATTTAAAAATATAATATAACCACTAAGTCAAAAGCCATCATAATTTCTTTTTGGTCCACAGACAATTTAGTGACACCATCACCAACAGCCTCCATCCATTTTCTTTCAATTCAAAATATAATCATTGAGAATGGCCACTAAAAATTTAACAACTCAAACAAGAAACAAAAATCGTAAAATGTAAACAAAACATTTAACAAGCGTGCAGCCAATAAACAATACGGCCAACCCAAATTCTGAGCAGTGTCAAAATGATAAAGTAAATGTCCCCACTTTTAACTAAAATCGAAATGAATGAGAATCGCTAGCGATTGCGACTGTCATGGCGTAGTCGCTTTTAAATTTCGACATCGAAATGAAATAGAATCAGGGCCCAGGATAAATTTCTCTTTACTACTAACTGGCAGCTTACTTATGTTTCGTCGTCAACACCATCGATCTTGTGGTCCTCCTTGAACATCGCACCGTTCCTCGTTGTGACAAGATTGAAGAAAGGAAACAACAAAACATCATAAGCAATCCAGAAACAATCACAAGAAAAGATTCAAATATGACAACAATACCAAATGTAACGGGCTCATCAAAAATTGAAAAGCATAGGAAATATCTGCAACATCACAACAACATTCAAAACAACCAACACACAGATCTATCCTGTCCAAAACCAAACTCAACAACACACAAGAAAGATCAAAGAATTGCATCTATAAAATACAACAATTTCTATATCGGAGAAACGGCAAGCGACGAAAAACACGCAAGAAACATACATCAAGAAAAGCAACTTCGACAAATCTCAGATATGCAAACACGCCTCGAACAGCAAGCACAGAGTACAATTGAAAGATGCATCAATAATCCTGAAAGAAACAGACATGAACGAGAGAAAAGTGAACGAAACATCTCTCCTCCCACTTAAAAAAGAAAAATGTGTAGAAAACTCATCAGCAGAATGTAGAAGGCTTTGGTTGCAAATACTAAAAGAAAACGTCAATAACAAGAAGATCCCAACACTAGCGGATTAAAAGGAAGTCTGAGACACGTCATCTACAGTTTATACACAATGCATATGCAACACAAAAATACACTACCGAGCATAAAATTAGGGTCGCCCCGTAATTTGAATTTATTTTAGAAATTATTATTCTGTTTTAACTATTTTCGGTTGTAACATAGTTTACTAACGGATTGCTTAAAGAAAACAACGTTTTTGTCGTTTTAAAGTTTATTAAAAATAATGGAAATGAAGAATTTTCCTTTGATATACTAAATATTGAAAAAGGACAATTTTAATTTGATGTGCTTTTTGTTGAAAAAAAAAGGAATTATAAGAACTACAGTAGCGAGTATTCCCTCCTCTGGCAGTGATAACAGCTTGCAAACTACGAGGCATGCTTTGGATTAGATTTTGGATCACATTCTGCGGAAGATTATTCCATTCTTGCAAAAATATGTCTTGCTTATTGTATGCTTATTACAACTGGATTATTAGGTAAACTTCTTATTGCAAATATTACATCTATCAGGTTTCTCACCAGTGTGAACTCTCATATGATTATTAAAATTGGATTGATGGGTAAACTTCTTATTGCAAATTTCACATGTATAAGGTTTCAGACCTGTGTCCACTCTCATATGATTATTAAAACTGGATTGATGGGTAAACTTCTTATTGCAAATTTCACATGTAAAAGGTTTCTCATCTTAGTGAAGTCTCATATGATTATTAAAATTGCATTGATGGGTAAACTTCTTATTGCAAATTTCACATGTATAAGGTTTCACACCTGTGTGAACTCTCATATGATTATTAAGATTGGATTGTTGGGTAAATTTCTTACTGCATATTTCACATGTATAAGGTTTCTCACCAGTGTGAACTCTCATATGATTATTAAAATTGGATTGATGGGTAAACTTCTTATTGCAAATTTCACATGTATAAGGTTTCACACCTGTGTGAACTCTCATATGATTATTAAAACTGGATTGATGGGTAAACTTCTTATTGCAAAGTTCACAGGTATAAGGTTTCTCACCTGTGTGAAGTCTCATATGTTTATTACAACTGGATTGTCGGGTAAACTTGTTATTGCATATTTCACATGTATATGGTTTCTCACCAGTGTGAACTCTCATATGATTATTAAAATTGGATTGATGGGTAAACTTCTTATTGCAAATCTCACCTGTATAAGGTTTCTCATCTGTGTGAACTCTCATATGTTTATTACAACTGGATTTTTGGGTAAACTTCTTATTGCAAATTTCACATTTATAAGGTTTCTCTCCAGTGTGAACTCTCATATGATCATTAAAATTAGATTTTTGAGTAAACTTCTTACCGCATATTTCACATGTATAAGGTTTCTCACCAGTGTGAAGTCTCATATGATCATTGAGACTGGATTGTTGAGTAAATTTCTTACTGCATATTTCACATGTACAAGGTTTCTCACCAGTGTGAACTCTCATATGATTATTAAAATTGGATTGTTGAGTAAACTTCTTATTGCAAATTTCACATGTATAAGGTTTCTCACCAGTGTGAAGTCTCATATGATTATTAAAATTGGATTGATGGGTAAATTTCTTATTGCAAATTTCACATATATAAGGTTTCTCACCAGTGTGAACTCTCATATGATTATTATGATTGGATTGACGGGTAAACTTCTTATTGCAAATTTCACATGTATAAGGTTTCTCACCTGTGTGAAGTCTCATATGCTTATTACAACTGGATTGTTGGGTAAACTTCTTATTGCAAATATCACATCTATAAGGTTTCTCACCTGTATGAACTCTCATATGATTATTAAAATTGGATTGATGGGTAAATTTCTTATTGCAAATTTCACATATATAAGGTTTCTCACCAGTGTGAACTCTCATATGATTATTAAAACTGGATTGATGGGTAAACTTCTTATTGCAAAGATCACATCTATAAGGTTTTTCACCTGTGTGAACTCTCATATGATTATTATGATTGGATTGTTGGTTAAATTTCTTATTGCATATTTCACATGTATAAGGTTTCTCACCAGTGTGAACTCTCATATGAATATTAAAATTGGATTGATAGGTAAACTTCTTATTGCAAATCTCACATGTATAAGGTTTCTCATCTGTGTGAAGTCTCATATGTTTATTATAACTGGATTGTTGGGTATACTTCTTATTGCAAATTTCACATTTATAAGCTTTCCCTCCTGTGTGAAGTCTCATATGATCATTAAAATTGGATTGTTGGGTAAACTTCTTACTGCAGTTTTCACATTTGTAAGGTTTTTTACAAGTGTGAACTCTTATGTGTGTCTTTAAAACTCCTCTCTGGGCAAATTGCTTACCACAAATTTCGCATTTATTAGGTTTCTCTATAATTTGCACTTTCAAAGCATTTGTATTGGGAAGATCTAATATGTTTGTTATTTTCGTTGAGGTCTCCTTCATGTGAGTCCCTGAAATAAAAACCAAAGTGTATATTTATGTGAGGTGAATAAATGAAAATAGCAAAAATTTTTATAATGCTAATTAACCATGTCTGCTATTATTCGAATTTTCCCTTTAAAATTTAGTTTAGCCAACGAGTACAGACGCTCTTAGAAGGTTAAAGTTTATGGGGACGATGTCGTCCAGTTTAAATTTATATAAATAAAAATGAATATCCGGTAATGTATGTAGGTACACGCATAACTTCAGAACGACTGCAACAAATGATAACTCTTTTTCTGTTTGTTATCAGGACAAGGTTTGTATAAAAGATTATTTTCTAAAAATTGTACGAAATAACGTAATGTTATTTACTGACATTTAATGTCAGTATTGATAGATTGACAGTAAGTAAAAGGGCAGCAGCGGTACTGGGCCAATTCTTATGGAAATTAACATGGGAAATCGCTAAGGTTCATTCTGCTCATTTTTGTCTCTTTTTGTGGTGGAGGCGCGACGGCTCGTCGGATCGTGACGTGTAGGGTATCGTTGGAAAGCGGAGGGGACGGGGAATCTGTTGAGATAAAAATCAAACGCAAAGACTGTACCAAAACGGCATTACGTCATATCTCCATTGTTATTAGTCAGATCGTGACGTACGAGGGCTCGTTGGAATGGTAAGAGGGTAGCGAATACGTTTAGATAAAAACAAAACGCAAAAGACAATGCCAAAAGGACACTAAGCTTTGTAGCGTTTACGCTACTGACTAGTCCAATTTAAACCCCTCAAGAAATTTTTATTACCCGCCTACGATCGATTTTGAATCGACATTTTCCCCCACACGCGCTGTTATCGCTTTGAAAGGAAGATCGATTTTGTGCGGAAGCGAAGCGGTTAGTTTTGGTCAGAACTGATTGCAGCCACGCCAACCGGTGAAATTTTTCACCTTCAAAGTGACGGAATTGGAACAAAAAAATAATTTGGAGAAGAATAAAATATAAATATTTATAATAATAATTTTTTTTAAATAAACAATAATCTAAAGAGTTCCACAGAAAAGGAAGATTTTTTTTGGCGTGTTGCAGTTCCATGTAAGTAAATCATTTCATACGTATTATCTCTTTATCATATAATCAAATTTATCATTGTATTTAGTATTTCTTTAGAGATTTATTTTTGAGTTCCGAAATAATTTAAATATAAAATTTCCTTGATTTACTTGCAAAGAACAGAAGGTCATTCTTTTTTATATAGTTAAACTTAAAGTCTGTTTTATTCCATGTCGTTACCATTAAGTTTTTTTGGTTTTTTTTACCTAACTTTTTTTGGTGGAATATAAAAGGTTCTACAAATGTGGACAGCCTTCTGTATTCTGCGCATGTTTATTTCATGGCGCAAGCTTGCCATGCCTACGAAAGTAACTTCATAAATTTGACATGATGTTGACTTAACCTAATACCAAATGTTTTGATGTTTTGTTTTGGTGCAGTCAATCCATGCTGCTACACCTATCGAATTGTATTTATTAAATTAAATAATAATTTTTAGATTCCGTCACGTGAAAATATTAATTTCACTTTACTTGAGGATATTCTCTTGAGAATATTCCCTCAAGGATACTAGTAACAGAATCCTTAGATACATAGTTAGCAAACCCGTGGATTTTGCTGTCACCCAGAGACCAGTGACTGGTTGTGGCTTTTGTGACCAGGATTCGTCTTTACAGCCACAAACTGATGTAGCCGTGCCAAGAGGAGTTTTTCCTATGGACTTATAGTGCTGTAAAGATAAGTCGTTTAACTATTTGACCTTTTGTATTACGTATTACTTTATATTTACTGTTAACTGATCATATGCATATGATAAGGTGAATACCTTTTTTTGTGATAATTTAATTTTGATATAATCTAATTCTAAAATATTGGGGAGAAGAAAATACATTACATGTTTTTATTGGGTTTTTAAATAGGATTTCAAGAGTACTGACCAAACTCACTTTTGATATAATATTTTTTTTTAATACAATACATTTGATATAAAATAATTTTGATATTGGGAAGGGAAATAAATTTAATTTTTTTTTGTAATATGATATAATGAGTATGGAACAACTCATTTTTTGGATGTAATATATATTTAATATAATTGTAATAGAGATTTATCAAGTTTGATATCTTTACAATATTGTTATTTGTATCTCATTTGAGTAGAACTAATTTAAATTTAAATGACTACCTTTTTGTTTTAAGACTTTGGCTACCCTACGGACTATTCTTGTTGTATACTAATATTTCACATTTTATTTGGCCAGTGGTAGTGACTATTCATTTGTTGAGGGGCTATTAGGTCCTATTGTATCTGTACACCATCCCCTACCACTGTTATTTGGCTTTGCATTATATGTAAATTGTTTATACACATATACCTATATACATTTGTTTATAAATATATTTATTGTTGCTATTTTGAGTTTTATTTCAGTTCTACTAACCAGTATATAACATAGCAAAACAAGATTAATATTTAGTATTTTTGTATTTCAGAGTATTACCTCCAGATTCATTTGTTACTTCAAAATCTCAACTATCGTTGAGTTGGCGCCCTTCTTTTCTCTTCTTATTGTTCTCTTTCTATAAATTTATTCCCAGTGACCTTCTTTAGTTGTATCACGTTTGATATTACCAGGTCTCATTTCGTTTCTTGTCTCATTAGCTCAGTATCCTTGCTATCTGTTTAAATCTTTAAAGCCACAATCCAGTGCATTGAAGCTAGCCCGAACACTCTCTTGAGATTTAGTGTCTCTTTGGCCGTTTAAATTTGTTCCTCTGAGCTTAGCCCTATTTTTAGTATTTTTTTTTTTCATCACTTCTCTTTCAGTTCTTCTGAACTTTGTCAATTCACACATTTTATTCGTTTCAATTGGCTAGACCCAACGTGTGGCTTCTTTTCCACTTCTGCCTTAAAAAATATATATATATATATATATATATATATATATATATATATATATATATATATATATATATCTCCTTTAACTTTTGGTTTTGATCTTGGGTTGTTGTGGTTTTCACTGGTTGTGCTTTTAGATTTTCATTTTAACGCTTAGTTTTGTTTTTCAATTTTTTTTGGACATTACCTTATATCTATATCTTAAATTGACTTGTTTTTGCTATATACTGTGTAGACTGAATAAATTGCTTTGTTTTTGATTGATTAAATAACAATTTTAGCTTAATAATAAATTCATTAAAAATTTAAATAACTAAAGTTAACTATTTCACATATTTTACAAGTCCGGAGTAGTCAATAAGTTGAGTCACTACCTCGTAATAACAGTTTTGAAATTTTAGGTTCCTTAGGGTGTTGTAGCAGTATATGTCATTGGATTTCATAACTGGACCAAAACAATTAAACATTACTGGTATAGGTATCCCTTCAGAATATTATTTTAAGGACAGAGAGTAAGTTAAACTTTGCCTACTTTTACTCATTCTCTTGTATATTTCTGTTGTGTAATATGTCTGCGTTCAAGGTAGAGCATCTTTTAGCTCCTGAATTAGAGTATGAGTTGAGAGTCCGTCACTTAAACGATCCATCTTTGACAACCGTGGAAAGAAAAAGGGTAGTGTTGCGTGGTGCATTGAAGCAAACTTCATCCAATCGGAGTTTCGCTGTTCTGTCAGCTTCCCATCTTAATTTTAAGGATGAGATTGCCGAAGTAGAGGTTACTCTTGCAGATCTGGTGGTCAAAATTAATTCTTTTGTTGGTTCTTCTAGTGATACTGCCTATGCTCGTTATACTTCTCGGTTAGGTCATGTTGCAGCTAGAATCCATCTATTAGAAGCTACAACAGAGGAAGAGGAGGAAGTGAAGAGGTCTCTTAATTTCAGAGTTTTGATTCTGGAAGGTGAACTTGATTGTAAAGTGATTCCCCAGGCACAGTCAACTCCTCATAATGCTAGTGTTCCAGTCAACTCGTTTCCTTTTGTTAAGTCTGCTCCTATTCATAAATGGGGTGTGCATTTTTCAGGTCAAGATAATGAGAACGTTGTTAGTTTCTTAGAGAAGGTAGAATGTATGCGTATAGCTCGTGGTAACAGTGAGGAAGAGTGTTACTCTTCTGCTGCAGATTTATTTAAAGATTCAGCTTTTACTTGGTACCTCAATAACCGAGGTAGTTTTGCTTCTTGGCAAGAGTTAGTTGCCAAACTCAGATCAGATTTTCTTCCATATAACTATGAGGATAATCTCCTTGACGAAATCAAGTCTCGTAAACAAGCTCCACAGGAGAAAGTTACAATTTTTATTAATGAGATTGTTAGTTTGTGTAAACGTCTAGAGACTCCTCTTTCTGAACCTCATATTGTCAGGATTATCAAGAGAAATTTGTTGCCATCGTACCATTCTAGTCTGGCACTTACAGATATTCCCTCGATTGCTGATCTTACTGAAAAATGTAAGAAGCTGGAAGAAGTTTTGTCATGGTCTTCTGACAGCGTGTCTAGAGCTCCTATCCATCAGAATTTCAGAAATAATGACTCATCCTATTCTGGTAGGCCTAATTATTCTCGGTCTGGTAATGTCTCTTCTTTTAATTCGAAGCTTACCTGTTGGAATTGTCGTCAGTCAGGACATGGTTACTACGAATGTTCTGAACCTAGAATTCGGTTTTGTTATGGATGTGGACGTCAAGGTGTCCGCAAATTTGAATGCCAATTCTGTTCGGGAAACGACAGAAGGGGTGGGTTGGCCCTGGCTCCTACTCCTCGTCAAAATACAGGGAATACAAACACTGTCCAAACTCCTCAAAACCAAGGAACCAGTTTCTCGAGTCTGGATGCCCAAGCTTCCACAAGCCAAACATCTCACCCTCCACCGAAAGACAAAAGACCACAGAACGGCAAATACCAACCGAAGAGAGGACAACGTTAGTTGAGCACGAGCACCGTAATTCTTCTGTAGTTTCTTCCTGTAATCCCTTGTCTTCGTTTGTTGATTTAGATATAAACTCATTGTTGGTTCGAAAA